TGTCTTATGTCAGTAACAACAAGGAGACCAGTGTCATTGGATGGATGAGTACGTGGGGGTGGGGGTGGAGGAGACTGGGTTGTGAAGGGCTTTGAATGCCAAACAGAGCATTTGGTATTTGATCCTGGAGGTGACAGGAAGCCACTGGATTTTATTCAGTGGGGAGTGACATGGTCAGATCTTTGTTTTAGGAAAATCATTTTGGTGGCTAAGTGGAGGGTAAATAAATGGAGGGGAGGAAGACTTGTGGCAGGGGGACTAAGCAGCAGGTGGTTGTAATAGTTGAGGCATGAGGAGGTGAGGGGCTGCACAAGGATGGCGGTGTGTCAGAGGAGAAAAGGAGACTTATTTGAGAAATTTCACCAGAAAAACCCCACAACTGCCTCTCTGAGGGTAAGGACTATATTCACTCATTTTGCTATTTGCCCTAGCTTAGCAGAGTGCTTCACATACATTAAGTACTTATTGTTTTTTTGAATAAATATTCTTTCCTCAATAGATAAGTGGTCAAAAGATTGGAAAAAATTTCAGAAGAAAAATTGCGAACCATAAATAGCTGAGTGGAAATATACACTGCAAATCACTAAGACGAAGAGAAATACAAATTAAAACAGCTAACAGATAAGCAGAACGGGGACTTTCAACATCAGAAGGGATATAGTAAGAAAAGCACACTAATTTACTGTTGGTGGAGCCTTTCAGGATAAGTTTGGAATTATGCAAGAAAAATGTCTATGTTCTTTGATTCAACAGTTCCACATCTGAATATATATGCTAAAGAAGCCAGAGATGGGCACAAAGGTCTAATACATGCCAAAATATTCATGATAATACTACTTTTTACCTCATTCTCTTTGCCCCAGTGATTTTGGAGGTTCTCAGTGACTCCTTTGTTAATGATATCCAATAAGAGACAATACTGTAAGAGAATGTCTCATTTTTTATTATTTATATTACTTATTATTATTTGTCATTGGGCACAGTGGATAGCGTGCCAGGTCTGGAGTCAGGAAGACTCATTTTCTTGAGTTCAAATCTGGCCTCAGACACTTATTAGTTATGTGACCCTAGGTAAACCATTTAACCCTGTTTGCCTCAGTTTCCTCATCTGCAAAATGAGTTGGAGAAGGAAATGGAAAACCACTCCAGTATCTTTGCCAAGAAAACCCCAAATGGGATCACAAAGAGTTGGACACAACTGAAACAACTGCACAACAACAACCATTTGTAGTAGCAAGGAACTGGAAACAAAGTGGGAATGGTTAAAAAAACCCAACCTTTGCGGTATACAAATGTAATGGAGTATTATTGTGCAGTAAGAAATGACAAATAAAAGGAATTCAGAGAAACATGGTATAATTTGTTTGAACTGATACAAAGTGAAATAGGTAGAACCAAAAAAATGAAAAAATATTTATCAAGCTCTTATTATGTGCCAAGTGTTGTGCTAAGTACATTGGGTATAAATAATAAAAAGTGAGACATTATTTTACAGCATTATCTCTTACTGCACATCATGAACAAAAGAGATGCTGAGAACCTCCAATATCACTGAGGAAAAGAGAATGAGGGAAAGTGTAGACTGATGTTTACTCAGACCTTTTTGAAGACACTCCCAGTTCTGGCTATTCAGCCAATCAAAAAAAAAAAGCTACGTGGGTAGCAATTGGAGCCAGTTATAGAATGTCTGCTTATGCTCTAAAGACTCTCCAAGGCACTTCTGTTACAGGTCTTCATGGTTCTCCCAGAAGGCAGTTTCTCAGTTTCTCCACACAGAGAAAGAAATCGCATCGGCTGAGTGAGCTAATGCACTCTGTGCATGTGCCAGACCCCCATTACACCTGACCTGATGAACCTTCAGGGTCCAGAGAGCTAAGTCTTCCTTTGCCTCTGGATGTTTGTAGGTTTTTGTCTGCTGAAGTGCCTACTTTATCAATCTAGGACCCAGTGCCTTCGCCACCCCGCTGTATTTAGGTACTAAAGCACATATGGCATACGAGATCTCTCTACCCTGTGAAACCTCCTGAGGTATACAGGCGCAGCTGGGTGTGTGACAAATAGTGGAGCCGCTTTTATTCTTTATATCTCCACTCCAGTTGGTTTCAATCAGCTTTTGATGATCTCTGAATAGCTTTTTCGCATTTTAATGTTCATTTTCCTTTTGTCTTTAAGAAAGAAATTGTGTGTAGGCGGGGTTCCCGTTGCCCAAGTGTATGGCCTCAATTTGATGCACTTTAATATTTATTTAAACCCCAGGGCATATGGCACTGTGGTAGAAGACATAACTTTACCATTATTATCACCAGGAAGGTGCCTTTATTAGGCATGTAATGGTAGGTGGCTCTGTCCAGAGCACTATAGAAAGAGAGCTGCCTGTATCTGGCCAGTACCCTATGAAAACTTTAAATCTATCAACAGGGAAACGTGACTCAGACATACACAGACACAGCTTAGTGTACTGGACTTGGAGTAGGAGACCTGGGGCCAGTGACCACAGGCAAACCATTTAACTTGCTTGTAGCCCAATGCCTTGCATCTAATAGGTGCTTAATCAGTTATTATTGAATTGAATCAAATCAAGTCTGTAAAATGAGGATAGCATTTGCAATACTTACTTTATGGGGTCATAGGATCATGAATTTTGAGTCCTTGAGTCAGGTCCTCTCATTTTACAGATGAACAAACTGAGTCCCAGAGAGGCTGAGTGACTCACTCACATGCCTAGCAACTGTGCAAAGCAAGCGTCAAGCCTAGATCTTCCTGACTCCAATTCCAGTATACTATCAAATATACCACCCTGTCTCTTCATTTTGAGGATGCTGTTATCAGCCTTCAAGTGATATATATGTCAATTGTTATTATATTATTATAAAGATTGCAAGATAGAAACAACAGATACGTGAATGATGAATAAGCTATTTGTATCACATGTGATATGATATGTTACAGAGATAGGGTATTTGCTGTGACTGGGGCAAAGGTATGTGCATAATTACATTGGGGGGAAATTATGGAAGGAATTATGTAGGGGGGAGATTTGGGAGAACAGCTGTGTGAGTTCTATACCATAAACAAACACCTGCAATAAAGACATAAGGTCTTATTTCAGCCAACAGATAATTAGTCTTGATGATCACAATGTAAATGGAACCCTAATTCTTTAAGCTGCTAATTATTCTTTCTAGTGGCGGACGATCTGTGCACCATGTATGTGTCATCCTGGGGGAGGCAGTTGTATTCTATTTGGGGATAAGTTTGGGTCTCTCCCCCACCTTTTTCCAGGCTCAATTTTATGCCTCGTACCAGACCTGGCTGTTTTTAAAATAGGTACTTAGAAAGTGTTATTGAGGCCAAGGCCACCAGTTTGATTCCCATATACTCTAGTTTTGCCTCATACCACACAGCTGGTTCCAGCCAAACTTCTCACAAATGCCCACCTTGTTAACAAGGCAGATATGGGATGAGTGTGCATTAATTTAACTTATTGCTGTTACTGGGGGGAATTTTTAAAATTTTAAGGAGTTTTCCTTAAAGCAGAGGTCTTATTGACCTATGGGTCTGAATTGCCTTCCTTCCGTAGTAGGGACAGCATATTTCCATTATTTCATGTACAAGGAAGAGATAAAAAAAATCAGAACCCTTCTTTGTGCCCACTGTGAATCTGTATCTGATCATTTTTTTTGAACTGAGTGAAACATAAAACAAAATTAAGTTACAAGTATATGAGTTCTTGTGCACTGACTTTTTGAAACTAGTGGCAGCTGTCTAGTTTTCTGGGTGGCATCTATTATGAATGGTGAATGTTAGGGAGAGTCAGAGGGCTGGACCCCTTGTCAGGAGTCCTGCCACCATGACCAACACACTTGGGCAAGCCCTACCACTGTTCTGTATCTCAGTTTTTTCCTTTAAAATGGACATCATGATTTTGTGTACAACATACAGCACAGCGTATTTAAAATGGTGAACTCAGAATAAATAATCTGCTATAATAATATGAGTAATATATTATATATAATAACATAAATACTAAAATAATAAAACTTTCAACATGATTTTGAATGTTTAAAAATTGTTTTTAAAAGAAGAAACTGAACTGACTCAGGTTTTGGGACATTGGTTACTCAGGGGCTGGTTCCACTCTGAGGAGTCAGTGAGGGGGGGTCTATTTGGGCCCTGTTTTGATTATTCATAGTAGCTGGTGCTTGAAGTCTATATCCTTGCCATTTAATCTCAGGAGCAAGGTAAATGGGAGTGGAAGTTTTCCAACTATATTCTTTCTGGATTCTTCCCAGGTGGTTTTATGGCTATAATCATAGGACCCCCAAACCCTTGGAATCTTTCCCTTCTTAGAGAGAATCATCATGGCTATCCTTTCCCCTACCTCTTCTTTCCATGTCCTAATACCTTTCTGTCTCTCTTTGGATCTCCTTTCCTCTTCTCTTCCTCCAGCCCCCTGACGTGTGGGTCCTACTATGTCCCTTTGTGGAGAGTGACTTACCTATGTTCAGTGCATGTAACAAATTTGTGGGTTTCAAAAGTATAATCTTCCTTCAGTGCACTTTAAAGAGGAACCTGGATTGAAACTGAGGGCATGTGCTCCATTAGCCAGGGTAGAAAATGCTCCTTCTTTTCTTAGCAATTGCACCTGATCACATGATGGGATGGGGGAAGACTTGGGTTCTCTGTGCCTCAGTTTCTCTATCTGGGATACACTGATTTGCTACCTGCTAATCTCGGATATTATATAAAGGTGAGACCAGGTTTTCTAAAATTATTTGAACTTGCTTCAAGTAAATCCCCATCTGAGATGTTAAGGTGAATATTTTAAATCTCTGAAGAAAGGCAATTAATGATGCAATTGCCTAGCACCTGAAGGAACCAGATGCCTTTTTTTCCGTCATAAATTAATATCTGCACCTATTCATTCCCCAAACCCTTTGCCTCCATAGAGCTTGAATGAAAATGCAAATCACTGACCACCCTTTTGATATTCTTTTCAGGGACACCTGTGTGGTTCTTTGTGAAAATCGCTCCAATTCGAAACGAACAGGATAAAGTGGTTCTATTTCTTTGCACTTTCAGTGACATAACAGCTTTCAAACAGCCAATTGAGGATGATTCATGTAAAGGTTTGTAATTCTGATATATACAAATATGTTTTATGCTTTCTTTCTCCAATGCGGCCCAGGCATCTACATAGAATTCAAGGTTGCCAAGGCAATCTAAGCACAAAGATTAAAAATTACACTCTAATTTATATTGGAGGAAGGTAAAATGTCACCCTGGAATAAATTGGGGTAGGAAGCAGAAGGGAAGCTTGGGGTTCTGCTTGGGAAGCATAGGGAATGAACACCAATTACCATTGGACAATTCTAGCAACATCAAAGAAGCATTCCAAATTCTCAGAAGGTAATGGTTACTTCCCCAGTAATGAACAGAATTTGGTCAGACTCTTAGAACTGAATGAATTATACATGCTTATACACTGAGATGCATGTCAGCTGTTCAAAAATGTTTTTTTTTTTTTTAAAAGAGGCATAGCCTCTATTTTGTTCGTGGAAGGCAATGGTGGAATTTCACTCATCTCCATCAAGGTGGTTGGTTTGGTTCCATCTATGTATGACTGGCTAGATTACTTGCTTAGAGGATAATATTAATGAAATCAAGTCATTAGATTCAATTCCTAGTTAGTCTGATTCATGGCCTTAGATAGCATTTCTCTCTTGGTTATACCACAGACTGAAACCCTCACCCTAACCAGCTGCGTCCTAGAGACGTGCCTCAGTAACAACAGCAGCCTGACAAGAGCAAGTGGATTTCCCATCGTGATCCAATCCCTATTATTGGGAAAATGGCTCAAAGCAAAAGTCCTGTTGTTGTGGGCTAGTAATGATGTATACGTGCACAAAGAACCACATCTCAGTTAGTGGCTGGTTGGGATATCGGGAGCAATGCAATGCTGGATTTCACTCTTCTCACCCAGGCTGTACTGAGATCTTCCACAGATGACAGGGAATATTTCAAGTTTCAAAAATTTCTGCTTATCTGGTGCTTTTCCCCATTGGTATCTGGGGCTTCTTCTTCTAAGGGTCTCCTGTGTTTAGCCAACATGAAAAAGGATACCCAAAGGAAACCATTGTGGTATAAAATATAATAATAATATATTTTTATTTATTTATAAAAAAAAAGTGATTTCATTGGTATAGGGAACTCAAGGTGGGGAAATTCTACCAGTGCAGATTATACCTGCTCTGCAGCTTAAAGAGCTGTCTGGGCAAATTGAAAGGTTAAGTGACTTTAGGGAAGTGGGGTGGTTCACTGGAAAGACCAGTGGCTCTGGAGTCAAAGTATATGACTTCAAATTCTGCCTTTGATGACCACTACCTGTGTGACCTTGGGCAAGTCATTTAACCTCATTGAGTCTCAGTTTCCTTATTGTAACATGAGGGGAGTAACCTAGATGGTCTTTAAAGCCCCTACAGGCTCAAAATATATGATCCCGTCATATGACCTTGGTCACATCCCTTGCCTTCTCTAGGCCTTAGTTTTCTCACTTGGAGTAGAACTAGATGGCATCTAAGACCTCTTACAGCTCTAAATCTATGATCCTACAATTCTTTGATATGCCCTTGGACAAATCACTTCCCTCTTCTAGGCCTCAGTTTGCTTATAAAATGAGGGGGTGAACAGGATAGTCTTTAAGGGCTCTTCTAGTTCTAAATCTATGAACCCATTATCTTCTGATGTGACCTTGAGCAAGTTCTTTCTATTCTCCTTATTTGTTGTCAAGGAAAGAGTTAAACTTGCTGTTATCTGTTTCCTTCCAGATCTAAAATTCTGTAAATCTGTGATTCTAAACATGTACATCACATTTTAAAGCTGACCAAATTTAGTAACACCTTTCCATTTTTCTCCCTTCAAATATGGTTATGCCATGTAACTAATTTTGCCAGTACGTGAATATCTAATTTTCCCTGACAATAAGACAGTTTAGATGTCCTGATGAGACAACAACAACAGTATGGATTTCCTTGTCATAAAGACAAGTGAAGAAAAAGCAGATTTTACCTGGCATCTAACAGATTTATTTGATTCTGATGTACCTGAATGAATAGATAAATCAGGATTATATAATAAGGCTCACTCAGGTCAGTGCTTTAGGAATCAAATGCATCGCTTCCTTTTAATGAGTTTTGGTGGTGAACTCTCTTGCAGTAGGGACCATGAATAAATTAGAAGGGCTCTGGTGAGGATTGATTAAAGAGAGCTAATTGTATATTTGTATGCAAGCATTTACCCCATTCTTTTTTCTTTCTGAAACTAGGCTCTATTTTATCTCTTTGTTAGAGAAATAAATAAGAAAGATCTAATCCTTGATCTGTTTAAATTCAGAAAATTACAATCCATAATAGAAGGAACAGGATTAGTCTATCTCACTTAATGTCCCATCAGAAAGCTGTCCATTATATCCATTAAAAAGGTGATATGGCAGCCTACCAAATTTATTTTATCTGGTGAATTTGTTGTTGTTTTGAGCCTGGGTCTCCCTCGTCTCACCCAGGCTGGAAGTGCAGCTGTCATTTGCCAGCCTAATCCCACTGCTGACTGGCACAGAAGCTTTGACCTGATCCATTTCCCACCTGGTCTGGGCAAACTTCTGGGAGTGTACTAAATTGGTGCCAGACTTAGTATGAACATCACTAAAAACTTAAAATTCTGGAGCTTACCTGATGCACTAACCTTTCTGATAGGAGGAATTGCATGTATGTGCCACTCTGACTGGTGGGAGCTTGGTTTGACTCTGCTGTGTGTATGGTCCTCTGCTTAGACACGTTCACATATGACAAGATCCTGTTTGTGATAGAACAACATAGATCATCTCAACTCCATAGTGTGATTACTATTATATGAATTGCAGTTTTTATTAACAGCCCAAAGAACTAAATAGGCCAGTGAGAAAAAGTAACCCTCATTTTCATGTGCCTTGACTGTGCTCCTGAGAGGCACTAGGATATAGTGGAAAGGGCATTGAACCTGGAGAAAGAAGATACGAGTTTGAGTTCTGGCTTCACTGCTCACTCTGTGTGACCTTGGGCAAGTCACTTAGCATTTCTAAGTCTCAGTTTCCTCATCTATAAAATGGCAGGATTGGACCAGATGCTCTCTAAGGTCCTTTCCACCTCCAACTTTTTACAATGCTTTTTCTTTTACAATGCCTGTTTCTTCTAGGAGACAGAGCCCAGCACCATTTCAGCACCGTGGTCAGCATTAATAGTCATTCTGATCTAGGATTTACAATCCACTATTATTTGTAGCAAAGAAAGACTTGTAGGCATAGATAATCCAAACCATAGATGTTCCTCAAATGAAGTAGATATGGTTCAGCTATACATGTCTTTCCTTCCTCTCTCCCCAACTAGATTTGCCCAAGGTTTTCCTAGGTCTGATTTATGCAATCTGATATTAAAATTTAGTTTATATTCCCTGAGTATATGTCTTGGCAGTAGTGGGAGGTGGCTTAGGAATGTGCTTTTTGCCACAGACAGAATCCCATTGTTTAATAAATCACAATATAATATTTGGAAAATGGATAATCTATCCAGGGATGATTGAGAACTTAACTATAGTTAGATCTTGAGCAAGTAGTATGCCTTTGAGAAGATCTTTTAATTGCTCTAGGTGCCTCTTCTTTAAAACAGGAATAATACTATTTGTAGTACTTAAATCACAAGGTTACTATGAGAAAAATGCTTTGTAAATAATAAAACATTATAGGTTTATTTTTCTGGAGTCTGTTCACTTTTTTAAAATAGCCTCTCTATTGCTTCTTTTTCTCCTTTATGATATGCAGTATAATCTCTTTTTGCTTATGAAGCCCAGTTGAGACAGTTTGACATTAGGGACCCTATTATGTGCTATGTGAGGATCCACCTTTTTTCCATTATTTAGTGCTCCATGATTCCATACATAAACCTTGACTTCTCATTCTCCTCTTTCTCATCTCTTTGCTGTCCATCTTTTAGGACATTTCGTTGCTTATCAGCATCTCTGACAGAGATTATGAGCAGCCAGGGAGAGAAGGTAAAACTTGAGTTAGTTTTGCTACTTCCAAGTAGCTCTTTTCTTTCTTTCTTTCTTTCTTTCTTTCTTTCTTTCTTTCTTTCTTTCTTTCTTTCTTTCTTTCTTTCTTTCTTTCTTTCTTTCTTTCTTTCTTTCTTTCTTTCTTTCTTTCTTTCTTTCTTTCTTCTTTTTTAAATGGTTGGGCAAGAGAGTAGGTTGAAACAACTAAAATGAGAAACTGCATTTCTTTATGGATTTCAATTGTCCCTACTCTCTTCATTCCCTATTATCATGGATAATTGAGAGTAGGCTGCTGGAATTTTCTTTCTGTCCTCATTCCTTCTTCTGAGTCAGTTATACCAGGGAGTCCTGTGGCTGTGAGTGCAGGAGAATAGACTGCTAGGCTTGGAACCTTCTCTGCAAATTGCTCACTGTGGAATGAGTCATCATTCTCTTGTTTTCTACCTCACCCCACTGAATAACATCATTTTAGAGGAGAAAATTCACTTTCAAAGAGCTACCTCTTGTATCCAACTTCTGAGCCAGACTTTAACTAAGTGCAGAAGACCATGGCAATGTGAAATTCTAGCCAAGATTTTGAAGGACAAAGGGTTTAGGAAAGAAAGGCAGAGGAAAGGATCTCAAAGGCCATTTCAGGCTTAGTCCTCTTATTCTTATGTTTTCATGTGGGACTTTTCATGAAGCACTCTTGGGGAAGAGACAGAGTAGTTAAAATTATTCTGTTTTTTTCTTCTGCTTTGTCTTGAAAATATGAATGGTATTTCTCCAAAAGGAATCCGTAGAATTATCTGCTCGCATTGAGGGTAGTGCTGGAGAGAAGATTCAAAGATTTATCAATCCCCAAAGCACTGTTACTGTAGGAGCATTCCTAATTTTGTTATATGCGAGGATAATTTGCAGTTTAGTAGTTAAAAGCAGAGGGCTTAAGGGAGAGAAATAAACACCCAGAGAGTGCCCACTACTAACTGCAGCTTACATTTCTAAGTCCATATTTTCTATACCAAAGTGTCTTGTTATATATTCTAAGGAAAGCTAAGTTGCCCATGGG